ATGGCCATACTAAACCAGCAAAGTCAGATGTCTATACCCGTGGCTTTGTCTGTCCCTGCTACCTCTGAAGGAATTGTCAGGTCAGTGACCCCACCACCACCCATGTGTGCATGGCTATGGACCATATCATTTTCATGTGTTTTTGTTTTTGTGTGTGTTCTGAATTGTGATATTTAGTTTAGCTCTTGTATCTACATATTCAGCAAGAATCTTAAGTGGGATCAAGGCATGGCTGTGGATTGATAATTTTTATTTGGATTCATGTTAATGTTATTTGTTATGGAAATCTGTGGTTTTGTCATTTAATATTCCTTTGCCTTCAGTTTTGTGCTGAATTATGTTTGATTACGTCTTCCATCTGCGTAATTATCCAGCATCATTATAGGAATTCAGGCATTATGTATTTGCTGTGAATTGATTATATTTAGCTGAGTTTATGTTAATGTTGTTTGTTAAGGAAATCGGTTTTTTTTTTTTTTTTATTTGATATTCCTTTGCCTTCAGTTTTGGGCTGAATTATGTTCAGTTAGATCTTTCATCTGCATAATTATCCAGCATCATTATAGGAATTCAAGCATGATGTATTTGCTGTGAATTGATTATGTTCATTTTTGTTTTTCATAATGTTATTTGGTATTTAAATTTGTGGTTTTGTCATTTATTGTTCCTTTGCCTTCAAATGAAGTAAGTTTTTATGCTGAGTTACGTAAGGTTAGGTCCTTCAGCTTGATAGTTGTCAAATATAAGAGGAATCCGGGTATGATGTATTAATTGTGAATTGATTATTTTTATTTGGGTTTTTGTTGATGTGTTGAAATGTTTCATTTTGTCAGTTAATGTTTCTCTGCCTGGAACTCTCCGAGTACCAGCCAGCAGTGTCTGGAGATACCCTTGCATAAAGCTTGAGTCCAGTGGAGTTAAAATAACACTATGGGATGGAAGAAACTGAACCAACAACTAGGATAGCATTAGATAATGTAACACATATCTATGATAGAAGAGTCAGTCAGACAGCTGTGCTGTCTTTGGACTGACCAGTGATCTCCTGGTTAGTTGTGTGGTTTTGAGAGTTAAGGGAAGTATATTCTTGTGCTGAGGGATGTTGGTCGTTTGTTCTTGTGCAGTCTTCTTTATCTTCTTTATATTCACCGGCTGTAAACTCTTGCGGAAAGTTATGGTTGTTCTTATACCAGGTGTCTTATACCAGGAGGGTGTAGATAAATAAGGGTATCTTTTGCATGGAAAAAGTACTGTAATTTCCTGTTTAAATAATTCAGTACAGTAACTCCATTGATAGGAAGCCGTGTTAGTGTTGTGACTAGCTTGTTTTGTTGCCAGTCTTGAGGTCGTGTTTTCCATTGTTTTGTTTCTTTCATTGACATGAGTTTCCTTATTGATCTAGTCTAATATGGCCGCGTGATATTGATTTTCCACCAGATTTTGTTTTTCTAGAAAAGAGGTGCCGGTACTCACCTCAAAGTATCCAAGAAAAGGTGGCGGTACTCACCACAAGTTGTCTTTAACAGGGGTGCTAAAAAATGATGCCTTAGAAAAGGTGCCGGTACTGAATACCATTACGTGCCACCAGAAAGAAATCCTAGGTTTTCAAAAATATGGGTCTAGTACTTTTACCAACTAGGGGGATGTTGGCCACATCACCCATCAATTGACAATTAGAAAATTCCTTAAAAAAGGACTTAGCATCATATACCCCAGTTGCAAACGGTATGAGAAGGGAACTATACGTTTCGTTTCATTAACATATACCAGCTGTACTTTAAGGCATGCAATAGGGTCCTTTGTCTTTGTTCTCCTTTCACACTACTTGTTATAACCAGCCAGTAAGGATACCCATTTTCCCACCAGAAGATCAACTTCAGATCCACAATAACTTCAAAAGTTTTTAACTGTCAGAGGAAAATGAAAATAGCTAGCATGTAGACTTAATGGTGACCCCCCCTCTCCCCCCCCCCCCCCCCCCGGCCAAAAAAAACTGTCAGTTACTGCCTATATTTACCAATTTTGTGGTATGGGCTGTGTGGGTGTGGGGGGGGGGGGGGGGGGGAGCTCTTTGAATCTGAGAATTTAGAGCCGCATGGCTAGTACTGTCAACACAGACTAGGCAAGTTAGGAATTTATTGCTGTCCCCGACAAACAATCCATGCCTTACTGACGATTTGAACTTGTGTCTTCCGGGTGAGATTCTCCAGCATTCTTAACCATTTTGTCATTTGCTCCTCTTGAGGTAAAGTAAATAAAACACCTCACGTGTAGACCTTAAGGTCTACCACTAGGCTAGCAGCCTGTTTACCTCAGTCCTTAAAAAAAACTTCCAACAGACTCTAATACAGTATTTGTTATTTTTAATAGGCTTCCCAGTCTAGTGCTCCTTTCCCTTCTGCTCCGTGCATGCAATCCTTTTGATATGATGGATAGTATCCAGTCTAACACCTTTGGCTTCTCTTAGCAACATTCATCTTAGGGTTTCTCGCTTGATTTGTTTCCCATTTTAATGCCTGCTTGGTGGTTCTGTTTCCTTTTATCCTTGTCTTCCCCAGTGTATTGCCATCTTCTGTATACTGATGTTGTTAAGACATAACTTACAGAGAACAGATTTCTAGGGCTTACTGATTGCTTACCTTAAATGATTTAGACAGGCAGGAAATATATGTGAAAGAAAGGTATATTACTTTGAAGTAAATCTTGGCAGTGTTTCTAGGTATAAATTAAGAAAGTGAGAGGGAAGAAGATTGGAAGATGAAAGGCGATAAATCGGCAAAGAAGCCCAACAAAATGAAATGGTGGAGCTCGAGGAGACGCAATTAGGAAATCAATACTTTAGCGGCTTAGTTAACTGTGTATCCATTATAGGACATTTCGGAACCAACCCCAGCTACTGGAGCTTTTTTAAAACTATTTCAAAGCAGAGATAGGCGCCCTGAAGTCAACCATTGGTGTAATGGAAAATACAGATAATGGCTATAGGCAAGATACTTCTTTTTTTTGTGTGCCACTTATTGCACCCTAAGATACACACAGAAAGAGGCAGAAGGAGAGGTGTTAAGAGAATGAGAACAATGGTAACGGAATTGACCGAAAAGGGGGTGAAATAGTTTCAGCTAACTTTCCTAATATAGACGGCACATGATTGATTGGTGGAATGCAACAGTGGAACCCAGTGAGTTAACTCAGTTCCAGACAGTAATTACTTTAACTCCTTCTGTCTGAAGCCATTGATTTGATGGTTCTGCACCGCTGAGTGGGTTAACTTAATGAGCATGGATAATCAGATTTTATTGTCAAAGGGTTAAGAATTGGGGACTTAGGCCGGTCTAACATTGTACCCTTTCAGTCTCGCTCCTGTTGTACAGTTATTCATTCATACATCATTTAAAAGGTAATATTCCATGACATCTAAGTCTTAATTACAAACGCTGGAATGTGCTGTATGTATACGTTACATTAATAAACTAAAATATTTTAGTTAATTAATACAGCCCATCCTTTTGACACATGACAAGCTAGATGTTATCAGGGCCCCTTTGAGAGTGAGTGATCAGTACGAAGACGTAATTAGATCCCCACGGTCTGAAGAGAAGGGTGCAATGGGAAATGACTAGGGGATGTGACTGACACTCCACGGTCTGAAGAGAAGGGTGCAATGGGAAGTGACTAGGGGATGTGCCTGACACTCGACGGTCTGAAGAGAAGGGTGCAATGGGAAGTGACCAGGGGATGTGACTGACACTCCACACTCGAAGGAAAGGCAAGACGGAATAACAGTCGGCCTGCTGCTGGTACTTTCGGCGTCTTAACACCTGCTGTCTTTACTTCCCCGGACATTACTTAATACTCATTTTAGACTGGGTCGACCTGGGTGCCAAGGTCCATTTTGAAAAATTCTGTCTCGATGCAGTGTTGAACCCTGGACTTTAGGGCCGGCAGGTGAGCGTGTAGTCAATTCTGCGGCTCCCGTATGATGTAGTAAATTAACACTGCATGCATGATGAATTGTTTTGTGACCCATGAGTTCAGTAACAAATATATCAGAATAGATTAACATAACATGTACACAATTAACATTCAGTGCATGGTGGATTTCTTGGTACCCCATTAGTTAGTTAATGAATCGACCGATGATTCTCATTGCACATCAGACAAGTCCTGATTTAAGGCTGGGTCAACGTGGGAGTCAAGGTCGTTTTAAAAATAAGTCCGGCTCTATCAGGACCTGAACCTACGACCTTTGGATTCGCAGGTAAGCGTCTAGCCATTAAACTGTGGCGGCTCCCACTTTAGGATAGTATCTCCTCCTAATAATTTTGATCATTCCTTGTCTCTTAAGTTTAACTTTGGAAGAGATTTGGTAAAATCCATACATGCTTGGTAACAGAAAAAGCATTGAAATAAGGTTAACGTTTGCTGGAAAAATGGACCGTACGCAAACCCAGCTTGATAATGTAGTTTTATCAGGCTAATCCTGACAGAGTGGCTGAAGCCCATCTCTGTGAGCGGGGCGCAGAGACAACCACTCTCTTTCAAGCAATGTCACCCTGATGATATTGATTACCAGTGTGGAAAGGATAGTGCTTTCTTCATGTAGTGTAACAGTTTTTGTTACTTTAGAACAGTGTTTCCCAAACTGGGCACTACCCCTGGTGGGGCTGAGATGATCCAGAATAAAAGGTATAGATTGTATGGTGAAATTACAAGTATAGCAGCCTTAGTATTAGTCATAGTGACACTAACCACGTCGTCATGATTATGTCAACAGCACTCTTTGAATGTAAACTGAATTTTGTTTAATACACTGATTTTTTTTTTTTTTTTACTGATTAGAGGGTGATGGCAGAGTGGCTCTAACTTGATTGACTGAATTTTTACAAAATAAAACTCAAGATGGTATCCATTGTTCCTTCTCCATTTTCTTCTGTACCCAACAGTTGATCTTGAATGCCATAATCCTCTAGAATTTTCCATAATTTGCATCTGTTAACTCGATCAAATGCCTTCTCTTGATCTGAAAATATAAGATGTTGACTTTTATCATATTCAATAGACTGCTCGTTTATCTGCCTTA